GAAGAAGTGATCAATGAAAAAGGTACGATATTATTATGCAAAATAAAGCCTGTAAATGTAGATCTAATAAAAAGACAAGACATCAATATCTACAGTACCAGTAGGCTATTGGTCATGCAGATGATAGTATTACGGTACTTTTTATCCCCCCCCCCCCAACAAATGCCGTAAACAATAATTATTTGTATTCACAAGTTACAACTTATTTCTAATTTGGTACCGTATTAACCTTATATGCCATACTTGCATGTTCGATGGTCAAATTCTAAGGCATGACAATGGCCTATAGGAATAGCATTGTGGTGCTCTTTATCCCCCCCCCCCTCACCCCCTTTAGAAAAAAATCAATAACATCTATTACTCACAAGTTACAATAGTTATTGGTTTTTAATCTTGTATTAACCGTTTACCACCTCTTCAAATACCGTACCTGCATGTTCGTTAATCAAAGGCTTGGCTATAGGAATATGAAGTGTGTGTACCGGCGAAGGCAGACTGAGGGCAGTAAGACGAAACCATAGACCCCGGCTGACCCCAACAGCCACCTGCATTCATGCGTTGACCCAGCTCTATACACATTTTTTTTTTCTGAAATTAAAATATGTCCGACATTCCAACAACCAGCACACAGTGGAGTGTCACAGTTCAACAGCTCCACGGGGCTCGGGGTACAGACACAGAGTCAATAGTGCATTATAGGCAATACAATTATCGTTTTATATAGTGATTCTATTAGTCGATAGTTTATTATTTTTGCTAAGAACAAGTCTTGAAAGCCAGTGAATTCCACGGCGCGGCACGTTCCCGCCGCTGTCGTCAGATTCGTCAGGCAGCGAAAAAACCTATTCAGCGAGACAGGTTTTCATGATCAGATAGAAAGAGAAAATCGGACTTTTCAAGAGTTTCGGTAATCAGACAAACAAACAGAAACCAGAAATGACAGACTAAAACCCCACAAAATACCGAATCACGAGTATTGCTTAAGCTCGGCATTGATCAAAGTGAAAGACATGAGCAGTGTTACTAAGTCAATAACCTGTTGTTGATAGGATTACCGAGTTAACTGTCACTGCTTAAGAATTGCTATACAATATCTTGTTATTGGCCTCCATTAATTAGAACCAAAAATATGTATACCACTTTCAACTTTTCCGTTGAAAAAATTTAGTTTTATCTTGAGAGTCACTGATCATGAAACCCAACCAACTGAATCCTTTTTTTTTTCTTTTTTTGTAAGTGTTTTACGGCGCTCGCAACTACATAAGGTCATATGAGCGCCCGGGACACACCAAACATTTTTAGTGGGAAAGAAATTTTGAATTTTGTCCAGGTAGTGGCCGAAGCGTACTCTCATCCACCAAGTGATCTTTAACGTGCGCAACTTGTACACCGGACCTCCTAGATTTTTTGCCCTTGTCCGATAAGGCTAGGTGTAGATCTTACTTACCATAATATCAGAGATGTGGCTGAAAGACAACACTAGAAGGAGCCAAGGAGAAGCAGTAGAAAGACTGCAGAAAGAGCAACTGAACCAGGAAAAAAAAGCAGGAAACGCTTGCTCTTGGGAATTCAGTTGGGGGAAACAAAAGCTGGCTTTGATGATTCAAACCTAAAAAATGTCCCTGCTGTTATCCCCCCCCCCCAAAAAAAAGAGGTGTCGAGTGATAAAACAATTTGCGTCTTCCGCTTTAGCTAGCGCGCTCATATGACCTTATGCAGTTGCGAGCGCCGTAAAACACTTTACAAAAACAAACAAAAAAAGAGCTTGCCAACCCTGGCGGTATCGAACGGAACGAATGATGGTACGACCTGTTTGAAACATTTGAATGATGGAAGATGGTGAAGACAACAATTTAACGACAATGATGATGACCTAGATAAGCTTAGACCTACATGTATCTAACATTAGGCTCTTTTCGAAATATGGCCATTTCTTGTGCTCCTGGTGCCATCAATCTCGGACTTGGTCCGTTTTCCAGTGATCTTATGCCTAGCAGCATACATGTACCATACTTCCTCTCTATTGCAGTTGAGGAATTTGTTCTTGACCTTTTCTCTTCTTCTCGAGAACTCTGTTTCTATACACCGCTTTCGTTATCCACAGGTGTCGTTATTATCCCTGTGATAAATCTTTGTTACTGGGTATTTCTTTTCACCACACCCAAGAAAGCTTCTTAACAGGCACGAGTCCACTCTTCTCCTGAGACACGATTGCCTCGACTTGCTCTGTTCTACGCACTGCCTCAACTACAACAAATACTTTAATTGGTTTCACTTTCGATTAGTTGGTCTTCTTCTTCTTCTTCTTCTTCTTCTTCTTCTTCTTCTTCTTCTTCTTCTTCTTCTTCTTCTTCTTCTTCTTCTTCTTCTTTAGATGGACATCCCAGCCTTTAGTGCGAACGCTGCAGTTCCCCGCAGGTCCCCCAGGCCCTTATAGAGTTCTGGGAGCTTCCTGCTCAGGGTTGGGCTAATATTTCCTCCTTAGTATTTCACGCATAGACTCATATTGACACTGCTCTAAGTGGCCGACCCTAAACTTTGAGTAGAGACAGTGTTTCGGGTGGTTATAGCTTAAATAGAAAAACTGTCTCTTGACAGGTGAGAAGGTAGTTGAGGTCAGTCAGATTATAGCGTTTGTGTTGTTCATTCCACTTTGTTTGTATTTGTAGCCTCATTTTGATGATGGTTTTCGCCTCCGATTATCCTTATTTCTGGCTGACCTTATCGAAATTGAACATTTCTAATGAAGCTCATATAGTCGTATCCAGCACATCAGCTAGACTATTATAGAAAAAAAACTAGACTACTAGACTGCTCAGCTGAAAGCAATGGCACAGGCCCAAAAAGTTGTTTTTGTTGATCTTCGGGACGGAGTGTGCCTGTCGGCAAATTAAAACCACCGTTTTTCTCCGGCTATTCCCTTTTCTATACACGCCAGAACTCCGCAATGCTTTTAAGAAAGCCTGTAAAACATGTCCGAGAGGTTTCTTAAATTCTGTGCTTAGCTCTTCTCATTTCATTGAAGAAAATTCACCAAGCGTCAGCCACACTTAGATCTCATAACAATAATTATTGTCCGTGGCTCGAGGAGAAAGTTGAACATCTGCTCAACCTACCCCATGTTCTGGTGATCATCTTACCCAGCACCAGCCTTTGGGAGCAAAACACAAGGCCCTTAACAGAGATGCAAAGTGCAAAGGCGTCATTTGAAGCTAAAACATTTGAATAGACAATAATTGGCAAACCTTGCCAAAACATTTTAATAACTCTATGGTTCAATGGAAATAGGAGGGGGTCGATTTCACTTAGATTGATGTAGAAATCTTTAATCTAACGGTTTGTTTGGAAATAAGGAGGGGGGCTGTGGGATTACAGCAGTGAGTTTTGCAAACCCTCTCTGATTACACTCAATAGAAATCAACTAAGGGTTTGCTATGAACAAAACAAATTTTCACTGTGGAAGACTATAGGAAAAAATTATAATATCAAAACAATTTTAATTGTGGTTACAAGTCTGGGGTGATCAGCTTACCCTGGTGCTAAACTTACCCCACTCTCTCCTACATATCAGTCACCATACCTTAATTATAATTCGGATATAGGTCTAGACCTTCCAATTTGCACAGAGATACTACGCCATAAATCAATACCAAAACAAAAAGTAAGAAAGAAAAAAACATTCAATGTGTCAACATATTCAAAAGAACATGTGGCTATACAGGATTCAAAAAACAAAAAAAACAAAAAATCTAAATCTACCTATTAATTAGAATGAAATGACTGACTCTTAGGAAGGTTTTAATAGACTTGTCCGGCACGTTAGATCCTGGCAGTATAATGGTAAATTCAATAGACCTAACACGGAAGCATAATTTTTCCGTTGCGTGTTCCAAGAAGCTGTCATATGAATGCGGAGACTTTATGTCGCTGCACTGACGCCAGGGACGCCACAAAACACCCCTCGCCTAGTTTAATGCCTACGCTGGACGGTAACGATTATGGCCAAGAATTAAAAAGACAGATCTAATCGCTTCCCACGTTATGTGTTTTTTATGGTGTTTTATATTCATTTATAAAAAGAGCTGTATCAACGGACCGATTAAAACAGGATTACGACATGATGCGGGGAAAATCTAGAATTCTTCGACTCTAAATCTAAGCTTATTTGTGTGATGGCATTGATACAACGGGGGGGGGGGGGGGGGGGGGGGGGGGGGAGAGATTTGGAAATAAAAACGACTTTTGAACATTCATTTGTGTTGCCATGGTGACGGCATCTACATTAGTATTTCATAATGAAAATTCCCCTTTTTTTCTTCAAAATCTGTCACAAAGTTATAAATGGCTTCACAATGGTATTTCATGTGGTTTTATAGCCTTATGTGGCTGTTTTAGTGGATAAAACTAGCACATTAGATGTACCCTAGGAGGACCCTTTTCTTCAGAATAATCAGAATCGAGGTCCAAATTAAGGGAAACCAAAAAAATCATATTATGAGAAGACTGATTTCTTTTCTAGATCTAGTGCTATTTCAACTCAACTTGAATTGTGTGAATCATGCTCGTGCATGTATGTATGTTATAATGGATGTGCCATTATATTACTATATGTAGTGAGCTCAGTAGTATTGCATGTATGAACAGGCCAGTATTATCATACGTAGTAAGTAAGCTCAGTTATAGTGTGTGTATGTATGCATGTTATAATGGATAGGCCATATTAATTATTATCATAAGAAGTGCGCTCAGTAGTAGTGCATGTATATATGTTATAATTAATGGATTGGCCTGTATTATCATAAGTAGTGAGTTCAGTAGTAGTGCATGTATGTATCTTATAATGGATAAGCCATATTATTGTCAAAAGTAGTAAGCTCAGTAGTAGTGCAGGTATGTATGTTATAAAGGACAGACCTGTATTACCATAAGTAGTGAGCTCAGTAGTTAGTAGTACATGTAAGGCCTACTGGCTCACGTTTCACCGACTGTCTCATTCACAGGCTGACAAACCCCCATCAAAAGGGTGATCCAGACACGAGCCTGTCTCTCTGTATTGTACGCTGGAGGCACGGTGTACCGCACGGAGGTCCTCTAAACTAAACGTTAGGGATATCGGTCAGCAAGTTCTACCAAGCTGTCGGTTTCGACAGCAAGGGCCCTCGTTTCCATCGGACTTGTATTATGTAAGCTCGTACATGTACTTTGAACAAACTTTCTCAACGTTACTTACAATGCATGCTACACACTTGTGCCGTATTTAAAAAAGGAACCTGGCAAATAGTTATAGGCCTATCTATGGCTTGTGGAGACCTTGTTGCATACCTACATCATAGGGCTAACCTCTGCTTCAGCTGACAACCACCCAACCATGTGACTCGCGGTGTCGGAGCGTGCATCTTCAGGACGTGCGCAGACGGTCATATAGATCTGTGCCTATATATAGATCAATAATACGCGATAGGAGGACTCAACTTTCTTGCTGTAGACTCCCCATTGCTGGTATCCCAACCGACCATGCGCAAAATTCACTCAGGGTCAGGGCTGGTCCAGCCTGAGCCACAGCGACACCCTGAGCCCACAGCCGGTCTCGCGCGCGGTCACCCGGAGCCCAAGGCCAGACGGCCAAACGAAGGCGTGGATATGGTGGACAGTTACCTGACCAGTCTGACGTCAACACGAGTCTCCTCAATCCACTACGCTACTCTGGACGAGGACCGGAATGGGAGTGTCGGACTCAGTTCTTTCCCCGCCTCAGACTCAGGCGGACCGGGGAAAGTGACGCGCTCGGCCAAACATCAGGTGAGAAGACAGAAAGAAGTCCGCCAGCATTCTGCGGTAGATTACTTACGATTAGATTTAAATCAACTTCACTATCCTAGAAGAATTACAAAGTTCTATCTGCTCAGTACCTAGCTTTGAGAAATTTGACGTTAGAAAATGTTGAGTTTCACAAGTCAAGCTTTTCGAATGCAATTCTTTGAACATCTTAACAACGACTCTAAATAATCTGACGATTTGGATAAATAAATAAGAACATTTGGCTCACACCTCATGGTCCTAGTTAATGGTAGGCCTACTCAAAAACGACCAAAGATGTCAGATAGGACCTTGTGATTCTAAAGCAACGACTTTTGTTTATTGTTGTTGTGGAGATGGTGAAATGGTATAAGTTCAAACCCTAATCAACACTTTTATGTTATTTAAGAGGTGGGACCTCCGAGTTTAATGTCCGTCTCCGAAAGGGTCCTGCCGAACAGGAAATGCATGTAATGTGCCTTTCCCAAGGATTCAACGTTGGACCGAGCTGAGGCTTGAACACCTAAACCTGCAACCTCACGATTACGGGCCCGGTAAGCCAACCGCTAGATCATCAAGGCCACCGACGCCACGGTCATTGTTGTTGTATCTGTTGCAGCATTTGTCTTTGTTCTGGTTTGTGAGGACAAAGTTTTGCGAGGCGTTCCTTCTAGGGGACGACCTAACGCCTTTCTAGAATACAACATTTAATGTTACATTTGCTTATACTGCATGTAGGGCCTACTGTAATGCGCGGATGCTTACCCTTACCTCTAACTTCTTTCTCGTAGACTCTTACCCGTAAATCTATTGCTTATGCTTCGCCCTATTTCTTTTCTAATATAGGTGTCTTTGCACTCCTGGGCCTATCGGTACAGTTTAGATCATTAAAGAGATGGTCTGCTTCGACCCTGACTGGAAGGATGAACCCAGGCTAACAGTAACAGGGATACAACGTACCCTGCACGTTCCCAGCAGAAAGACCGAGATATTCTATTATATTGATTGTTTTGGTTTTTCCACACGAGAACCGATCTTGGGTTTTCTGCGTGCTACAGCAAAGAGTAAGCGCCTATCAAGGACTACTATACTGAGTATAGTAGTCCTTGGCGCCTATATAACCGCTACTCCACAGACGCCAGCCACTTCAGCCTCAGCCGTAATTTATTATCTTGTCATATTATCCTATATCAATAATATCATAGTATATCTCCCTCCTACCGCACTGAGCGGTCGTTATATGCCACCCCAGGAGTAGGAGTGTTCAATAGTCTCCCATTTCCAGACTCTTCCTCCCACATTCTACCGGCAAGGTCTATACATGTATCTCTCAAGAACGAGAAAATGGACATGACTAGGGAGGGCATTGGTCTGATCTTTGGACTGACGAACATGTTGTGTTTGTGGTTAGCCCAAACAATTTCATCAAAATAAGATAGATAGTCCACTCGACAAAATCTCACACGAAGATCGAATTCGCGTCTTCTATTATCTATTTGTTGTGGCCGAATTTTGCTATTCAAAGGGCTTTTTAATGGCTGCATAGATCGCCATGAAGTTTTCGCCATAAGATTCTTTAAAATATTCTCCAGATCATGACGCCCTTCGGTTGTTGTTGTTGTTGTTGTTTTTTTTTTTTTTTTTTTTTTTTTTTTAAAGTTTTGTGACAGTTTCGCTGCAAAAAAGCAACAGTTCTTTAATCCGCCGATCGCTGTTGTAGTTGTAGGCCGATGTTTCTGTCTCTGGAATTTTAGAAAATCCGCCAGGTTTGTTTATTTCAAGTAGTACTTCTGTTCGATACTGTCGCCCATTATCGCGCAGTACTTAGCACTATTTTAAGTGTGCCACCCGTATAGATATAGCCTCGTGTTTTCTTTTTTTACCAATGACTTTCAGTTGATGTTAAGGCGCCGATCATTCCTTTCATCGAAAGGGGGCCCAGCTAGTTTGCACCTAAAGGCAAAACGTCTTACCAATTAACACATAATATTATTAACATGAACATGAACGTCAATGACACGATTTCTTTTCGGAGAGCCAGAAACTACAGAGCGTATTTATTTTTCGCGAACCCATTCCACTTTTCAGAAACCCACAGACATAACGACAGTGGCGTCGGCTTTGCCTGAAGTACCCCCGGAACTCCCAGGACTGAGCTTGATCACGTGGGAAGAGTTTGTGGACGACCCTTCCTTACTGCACGGCCTGTATAGCTCGGACAAAGATGATTTCATTCACTTCGACAGCAGTCTAGTCTGTAACTTCTTCCACGACTCCAGAATGGAGCCTCCAACACTTGGGGGTCCCTCGGGAGACGGAACGTCGTGGTTAGTAACTCAAAAAATTAAAATAATAATAGGCCCAGCGGTTTGGCGTACTGTCATGTCATTTCTCTTTCACTTTCAGTGTCAGATTGACCTACTCACATCTTGCATGTTAAAGTAAACATACATACTTCAACGGTAACAGTAAAAATGAACTTTTGTAAACGTTGAGAATGACAAACCACCGACACATTAAATATTGAAGTTCGTTAACGTACAGGGACATCTTTTCCGTTTCTTAAAACAAAAATGACTAAAGTTAACTACATACAATGTATCTAGATTTACATGTTTGTAAATATGACAACGCCACCCCTATACTGCCACGGTCACCAAAACAATGGCTAGAGATATAATTATGGTTGAGGAGTTTTGCCCCATCCACATCACAGTCTTGATACAGTACATGTAGGCCCTATTGCCCCTTCATACTTCCATATGTTTGGACCAATTAAGCGATAGATTCTATGTCTTGCCGGGAAGAAATTTACCATTGACAAAAAAAAAAGAAAAAAAAAAGACAAACCATGTGCAGCAAGTCCGAGCCTGGCTTTCTTGACGTAAACCTGTACAGTACAGGGATGGCATGCATTTACTTCAACTGTACTTAGTCAGCAATGATTTCTCTTGCGGATGACCTTCTGAAAAAAGAAATGTTTAGCCAACTAGAAATATATTTGTGAAAGTAAGTTTTGCACGAAGGGTCAATACGCGTATATCAACCGTGACGAAATTGTTGTATCCATATATATAATATTATTATATAATGTATATGTACATAATGTAT